TTTTTGGAAAATGGGCGTATCCAGGCCCACTTATGGTTACATGTGTGTATCTTGGTAACAGCTGCACCAATTTCTTCTAGTAGCGGCTGAAATCCCGAATTCTCACGTGGTGTCACTTAAAACATCATAACTTCAAATGGAGCAGACTTGCGCAAACTTTTTTTTCCGTGTAGTATGTGTATTTTTCATGCTGTTAATGAATTCAAATTCAAAACATAACCAAGCGGAAAAAACCTTCGAATCCTTCATCGAAATTTAAAAAACTAAACAAAATTTCTGTTTTATTACAGAAGCTATTTCTGCAACCTGTAATTTCAAAATAAAATATTTATAGCTAATTATAAATCTGAATATAACATGTAATTCAAGTCCGTATTTCTTAATAGGCCCTTGCTAGGAACAAATTCCTTAACCGCGGATGTGAAAATTACTTCTTAAGCAATTTCTCTTTATTTCATTAAATAGACACACAAAAGATCATTAGCTCATTAAAGCACGCTTTATTCCCTAAATAATGATACCAAACACGTATGTTATTTACAACTTTTCAAAAAAGCATTTATGATCAACCTTTGTACTAGCTCGATCCATAGTGCGTCGGAGCCAATGATAACCATCAGTTACCACCTCTGCATGGTTGTAAGTAGTGGTGGCAAACTATCGATAGTAAACACCATCGATAGTTGATGATATTTATTTCGTTCACTATCGATTGTGCCGATAGTCATTTTTTCCGATAATGCGCTGCCATCGATAGTCTCGACAGTGTGAACGAATTTTTTTTAATTTGAATGCAACAAAAAGGCATATCAATTTTACGTTTGAAGGTGGTATTAATTCACTTCTTTCAATAAAAATAATATAATATATTGCAGGTTTCAAGTTGGTAAAGAATCTCATTGATTTTTGACAATTTTTTTGCTAACCGTGTCACGCATTTTCTTCCATTTAAAAAACGAAAGTCTTTGTATCGAAGAAAACGCCTGACACTGTTTATTATACTAAAATTTAATGGACTATAAAATTGCATACCAAACATTTTTCTCAAAATTCTAATCCAAAGTTTGAAAATTCTGTGAAACCATGAGGAAGTTTATTAATTGTTGCACAAAGTTTGAAATTCGGATATACATAGCTTTCGTTAGACGATAAGCTGGGCTTTTATAAAAATTTAATAAGCTTTAAAGAAACAAAATAAAAACATTCAACTATACCGAAGATATCTTGGGCTTTCA